AGTAGTAGTCGTAGTAGTCGTAGTAGTAGTAGTAGTAGTAGTAGTAGTAGTAGTAGTAGTAGTAGTAGTAGTAAAGTAGTAGTAGTAGTAGTAGTAGTAAAGTAGTAGTAGTAGTAGTAGTAGTAGTAGTAGTAGTAGTAGTAGTAGTAGTAGTAGTAGTAGTAGTAGTAGTCGTAGTAGTAGTAGTAGTCGTAGTAGTAGTAGTAGTAGTAGTAGTAGTAGTAGTAGTAGTAGTAGTAGTAGTAGTAGTAGTAGTAGTAGTAGTAGTCGTAGTAGTAGTAGTAATAGTTCGGAGAGCCCAAGAGTCTCTTCGGAGAGCCCAAGAAGCGCTTCGGATGCCCCAAGAGGCTCTTCGGAGGCCCCACGAGGCTCTTCGGAGAGCCCAAGAGGCTCTTAGGCGGCTGCAAGAAGGTCTTCGGCGGCTCCAAGAGGCTCTTCGGAGAGCAGGGCGGAGCCCCCCCCCCCCCCCCTTCACCGCACTCGATAATTAATGCACTCCGGAAGAGGCCATACTAACACCCACCGGGCCGCAGTAACAACCAACGGGCCGCAGTGACACCTTATCTCTTTCTCGGAGCTGCAGTTGCGACTTGCAGCCCGCACACGGGCCACTCAGAACATTTTGTCCGCTGCGTTCCAGTCCGCGCGCTCGGTTATCCAAGGCGTCAGATCTGGCACGCGCTTCGCGAGATGCATGATGCATTTCGTAGTCTCTTTTGTCCCGGAGTCACCCCTCAGTCAACGCGCGAATCTGGATTGATGACTTATCTCAATCCATCGCAGCCTCGAAGTCCACTGTCAGGAAAGTTTTGCATCTATCCATTCACCATCCTCCTTCTCCTCCTTCTTCGAACGATTCGGCTGCCTCCCTCTTTGCCCGCGCACTTCCCTGATCACCTCAATTCGCCCGGGCGTCGTTTTTGATCTGCGGGCTCGCGAAGCAGGTCGAAAGCCGCCCGAGCACTAGTCGGGCCGCGACTAGGCAGCAAGAAAAGAGAGGCAAGCAAAGCAAGCGCGCGGGCAGCCACTCAGAAGAAAAACCAGAAACGAAACTCCCAACCCGGTGGCGTGGAGATCCCTGCGGCGACCAGCAAGTAAGCGCAGCCAAAGTGGCGCGGCGGCGCGACCATAAACGCGCAGGGGTCAACCAGCCGGTGACACTCGGCACAAAGCACCGTCAGAGACTAGCAGGACCGACAGGCACACCCGGGCGACGTCCGTGCCGTAGGCGACGCAACTGCATCATGTCAGCGCAAGAGTGAATTGGGCTACCTCGTCACAGATAGGACTGTAAGCGGCAGTGCCTCTTGTTTGCACAGCAGTGGCACACGTCGAAAGCGAAGTCCTTACAGGAAAGAGCAGCCGACGGGCGCGCCGAGCCACGCATGCCGAAATCCAAGCACCGCGGAGGTTGGCAGCGCGCGAGACCCCACTGAACACTTTCGGTCACACGTGGAAGCCGACGCGAGCCAGGAGCAAGCCAGGGGCCACCTGACCGACCATCCCTAATGCGATCCGTGCATGAAATTCGTAGTGAGACCCCACTGAACCCATCGATCACCAATGAAACCAACACCAGCCAGGAGCAGGCCAGTGCCCACCTGACCGCCCATCCCCAGCGTGCTCCTTGCATGGCATTCAGGCTGTCAGAGCGCCACCAGACAGCAGCATCGGCGGCGCCCCCAGCCGCGCGGGATAAACCCATCGAAGCAAAAGAGAGGAGGGGAAGTTTACGCGGCATCTGCCCGGGAATCTCGAGCGTCGCATCGCGCGCCTTATGAGCGCGCATTGCCGCTCATTAGTGCCCACTAGCGCTGGCTATCGGAAGAGGAGGGAGACGAACTCGGAACATCGGGGGCGGCCAAGGACACCGCCGCGCGGCGGGCGGCGGCCACGAAGAGGACTGCAATGGAGCCACGAGCAGGACGAGCGCCCCAAGCAGACGAGGCAATTTAATAAAAAATGACAAATATAAAAAACATGGCAGCTACGGCCGCCCCCGCCGCCACCAGAGTTCAAACGCTGAACGTCGGCCTCGTTTGCGCTTGAGCCGAAAGGGAAGAGAAGAAGGGAAGGGGGGGCTCTTCCTCCTCTTTTTGCCTCGCCCCCTTCCTTCCCCCCCCGGCCCCCCCCCTCCCCCTCCGCGGGCCCACGCCTGGCCCTGGCTTCTGCGAAGGCGATCACATGCTACGCCAGTCTCTGCGCACGGTCCGTCGGCTGGCCCGACGACTGTCCCATGGCCGCCCCGCGGTGGCACAGCGGCTGCCCCGCGGTTGCCCGCTTGCCCCCTGGGCCAACGCTCGCGAACTGCTCGCATCTTTCGGCGCGAGATTTTTCCCCCGCTGAGGACTCGCCACCGCAATCGCAGTCGCCGCGGCAACGCTGGGCCCGCGCGCGACCACGACCCCCAGAAAAGCACGCTGCGCCCATTAGTACAATCGGAAACCAAAGCCATGACTGCAAGACTCTGCTGCAGTCGCGCGGCCCTATGTCACCCGATGGGCCGGCCACGCCACAACTCGAACCCCCCCTGGCCATCCCCCCACATACATATATATATATATATGTATAGATATACTGTGTGTGCTTGTGTGCTCATTTTTACCTAACAGCGAAGACCGATAGGTTTCTAATGGTTCCACAAGAAAGCATCATGACTCCAGGCAGACTGGAGCTGAGGCTGAAGCAGGCTGAGGCTGAGGCGGAGGCAGGCTGAGGCTGAGTCTGAGGCAGGCTGAGGCTGAGGCAGAGGCTGATGCAGGCTGAGTCTGAGGCAGGCTGAGGCTGAGGCCGAGGCTGAAGGCAGATTGATGCTGAGGCTGAAGCAGGCTGAGGCTGAGGCAGAGGCAGGCTGAGGCTGAGGCTGAGGCAGGCTGGTGCTGAGGCAGGCTGAGGCTGCGGCTGAGGCTGATGCAGGCTGAGGCTGAGGCAGGCTGAGGCTGAGGCCAAGGCTGAAAACAGACTGAGGCTGAGGCTGAAGCAGGCTGAGGCTGAGGCTGAGGCAGGCTGAGGCTGAGGCAGGCTGAGGCTGAGGCCGAGGCTGAAGGCATGTTGAGGTTGTGGCTGAAGCAGGCTGAGGCTGAGGCAGAGGCAGGCTGAGGCTCAGGCTGAGGCAGGCTGATGCTGAGGCAGGCTGAGGCTGAGGCTGAGGCTGAGGCTGAGGCTGGGGCTGAGGCTGATGCAGGCTGAGGCTGAGGCAGGCTGAGGCTATGGCCGAGGCTGAAGGCATACTGAAGCTGAGGCTGAAGCAGGCTGAGGCTGAGGCTGAGGCAGGAAGAGGCTGAGGCTGAGGCAGGCGGATGCTGAGGCAGGCTGAGGCTGAGGCTGAGGCTGATGCAGGCTGAGGCTGAGGCAGGCTGAGGCTGAGGCCGAGGCTGAAGGCAGACTGAGGCTGAGGCTGAAGCAGGCTGAGGCTGAGGCTGAGGCAGGCTGGGGCTGAGGCTGAGGCAGGCTGATGCTGAGGCAGGCTGAGGCTGAGGCTGAGGCAGGCTGAGGCTGAGGCTGAGGCTGATGCAGGCTGAGGCTGAGGCTGAGGCTGAGGCTGAGGCCGAGGCTGATGAGCTGAGGCTGAAGGCAGCTGAGGCTGAGGCTGAGGCTGAGGCTGAGGCTGAAGCAGATGCTGAGCAGGCTGAGGAGGCTGAGGCTGCTGAGGCAGGAGGCTGAGGCTGAAGGCAGACTGAGGAAGCAGGCTGGCTGAGGCAGGCCGAGGCTGAGGCTGAGGCAGGCTGATGATGAGGCAGGCTGAGGCTGAGGCTGAGGCTGATGCAGGCTCAGGCTGAGGCAGGCTGAGGCTGAGGCCGAGGCTGAAAGCAGACTGAGGCTGAGGCCGAAGCAGGCCGAGGCTGAGGCTGAGGCAGGCTGAGGCTGAGGCTGAGGCAGGCTGATGCCTATGCAGGCTGAGGCTGAGGCTGAAGCTGATGCTGGCTGAAGCTGAGGCAGGCTGAGGCTGAGGCCGAGGCTGAAGGAAGACTGAGGCTGAGGCTGAAGCAGGCTAAGGCTGAGGCTGACGCAGGCTGAGGCTGAGGCTGAGGCAGGCTGATGCTGAGGCAGCCTGAGGCTGAGGCTGAGGCAGGCTGAGGCTGAGGCAGGCTGAGGCTGAGGCCGAAGCTGAAGGCAGACTGAGGCTGAGGCGGAAGCAGGCTGAGGCTGAGGCTGAGGCCGAGGCCGAGGCTGATGCTGAGGCAGACTGAGGCTGAGGCAGGCTGAGGCTGAGGCTGAGGCTGATGCAGGCCGAGGCTGAGGCAGGCTGAGGCTGAGGCCGAAGCTGAATGCAGACTGAGGCTGAGGCTGAAGCAGGCTGAGGCTGAGGCTGAGGCAGGCTGAGGCCGAGGCTGAGGCAGGCTGATGCTGAGGCAGGCTGAGGCTGAGGCTGTGACTGCGACTGCCGTTGCCGCTGCGACTGTCATCGCGAATGCGACTGCGACTGCGAGAACAGCAGAATTCTACAACTGGATTCTCATCTGGATCTTAAGGGGAATGCTTCCAAATATGCTCCGACACATCGCTGTTAGGTTGCTTTGCCGGAGTATGTTTTCTCTCTCTCTCTCTCTCTCTCTCTCTCCCCATCCATATTTTCTCTCTCTCTCTCTCTCTTTCTATTTGTTTTTCTCTCTCTCTCTCTCTCTCTCTCTCTCTCTCTCTCTCTCTCTCTCTCTCTCTCTCTCTCTCTCTTCCCCCTGTAACCGCAGCAACCCAATTAGTTACATCTGTCGCAACTATCGCCCTGGCCTTGCGCTTATCCGAAGCTCCCCTCACTCGCTGTCCTCTCCAAGGATCGCCGCCGCCACGTTCCCCGTGGGCGGCTTCTCCGACGCCGCAGCGCCTCCGCCGGGGGCACCCGGCGCAGCGGCCCGGGCTCCGCTTGCGGCCGCGGCCCCGTCGCCCGCCCGCGCCATCTGCGTCGGCAACGCACTCCTCTTGTGGCCTTCCTTGGGCCCCTCCTGCATCTCCGCCGCCCCCGACTGCGGCGCGGTCATCGACGCCTGCGAGATCCGCGTGACCTTAGCCTTGCAATTCTCCCAGTCCCCCTTGAACTCCAGCGAGCCGAGGAAGACGATGTCGCCGACCTTTAGCCGCGCGCTCTCTCCTTTGGCCCTCTTGGGGTCTGGCGCGCCTGCCGCCTCGTCGGCGGGGAGCTTCCCCGCCGTGCCTTCGTCCTTCCCCTTCTCCCCTATGTCCTCGGTCGGCTTCGCCTCGCCCTTGGCCGCGCCTTTCTCGGCCTGGCTCGCCGCGGCCGCGCCCTTCTCAGCCTGGCTCGCCTTGGCCGCCCTCTCCGCGTCCCCATTCGAGGCGCGCGCCAAGGGGCCCAGCGATGCGCTCTCCTCGGTCGAGATCTTCTTACTCGCTTTCCCGGTGCACTCCCACATGTCAGCCCGCTCTTCAAGCTCCTCGGTCGAGCCGTTCACGGGGCCTGGGATCGCCAGTCGGCATTGCCCTGGAGGCGCAGCCGCCCTGCGCACAACGCGCGCCCCACCGCCTTGGCAACCAGACCAGTCCGGTCATCTGAGCCTGCAGCCGTGCTGGCGCGAGCAGACAAGTGCTTCATGGCCATCAACACTGCCCGCGTGGTCGGTCTCGCCACAGGCCCCAGCAGCTCCTCGTTCTCGAAAGCGCGAGGTGCGAAGCGCATGAAGCCGTCGAGCTGCATGTATTCGACGGCGTTCTTGGCGCTCAACACCTCGCGCATGTGGTCGAAGAACTCGCTTTTGGGCCACCGGGGGCGCAGCATGCCACAGCGCTCGGGCTCTGCGAACAAGCACTTCACATTCTTTTCCCCTGGCATGTTCCCGCCCGCGGCGCGCGCCAGAGAGACCTCCTGCAACTGGCTCCTCGCCCCGATGCGGCCCGCGATCTCGAAGAGTTCGCCGGCGCGCTCGCGGGGCCGCGGCGGGGCCCACGCCGCTGGCGCACCTGCACCTGCCCCTCAGGACCTCGATATGCCTGGCGAGCTGCTTGCGCTGGAAGTCGCGCACGATCGGGCTGGAGAGGAACTTCCGCTGCTCCTTGAAGGCCAATGGGGCCCCGAGCTCGATCTGGGCCTCCACGGGCGTCTCGCGCAACTCGAAGATGGCGCGGCCGAGGGGCAGCGTGCTAGCCTCGGGCCCCTCGCCCCCCTGCCACTTCGCCCACTCCTCGACCACGTCAGCGAAAGGCGCCAGGTCGTCGTAACACGGCGCGCCCCGCAGCGTCTTCAAAATGAACGTTTGCGCGCTCACGTCGCGCGGCGCAAGCGGGGGCGTCTGCTTCGCCGAGTCCGCGGTGAAACGCCCCGCCCAGAACTGCCCGGAACCAGCGTCGTTCACGTGAGCCTTTGCAATCCTCTGCTGGCCCGCGCAAGCCTTCAAGTGCTCGCAGAGCTTCTTCGCGGTCACCGCGGCGCCCTCGCCCTCGGAATCAGCCGCCGCGCCCGCCTCGGAAGCGCGGGCCACGGTGGAATCATCGGGCTCGGCTGGGCCGGAACGACCGGGCGCGGAGGGGCTCGGCGCGTCCGCCGCGGGGCTGCGGCATGAAAAGGCCGGGGGCAGGCCCGAGCCCCCTCGGTCGCCCACAACCGTCGTCCGGACGACAGCAGCCTCGCAATTGATGTACCGCGTGTCGCCCCCCAACCACTCCGGGTCGCACTTCCACTGGGCGACCCAGACGGAGCCCGGGCCAACGCCCGACGGCAAGTCTGGGAAGTCGCGCGGGTTCACCAAGCACACGAAGGCCCAGGCGCCCGGATGCGGTCGCGCGCTTTTGCACTGCATGCGGCACTTCTTCCCCGCAGCGGCCGCGCGCTGCACGGAGGTTCGCTGGGTCTTCAAAAGCGCCGCTGCGACGCGAGAGCCCTTGGGCGGGACTGCACGGAGCGCGCGCCAGGTGGCGAAGGCGTCCTCCGAGCATGCGAAAGCCGGATCGGCCTTCTTCATCAGGGCCACAGCCCTGCGCGCCATTGCACGGGCGTCGGGGTCGATCGTGCCCATCTCGGCCTTCGCCTGCCCCGCCTGGGCGGGATCGATAGCACCCGCGTCGCCGCCCGCGCCCCCCTCCAAGTAAAAACGCCACTGAGTGAGCGGCAGGCGTCGCCCGAATCGCACCCGGGAGCCCCTGAGCCTAGACGCTGCGCGCGGGGGCGGTCACCGTCGACACCGACATCGCCATCGATTATTACCTAACAGCGAAGACTGAAAGGTTTCTAGTGGTGTCAAAAGAAAGCATCTGATGACTCCCCAGGGAAGTCTGGGCGGCATCCGGACAGCGAGGGCCGGGCTCAGGGCCGGGCTTGTTTTAAGCAAACAGTCACACACTTCGTGCACTTCGACCTCCCAGAACTCCATTCCCGGGCCACATTTTGAATGCCCGGAGCCAACTGTAGGCCACTTCGTGCTCTTCGACTTCCCAGAACTCCATTCCCGGGCCACATTTTGGATGCCCGGAGCCACCTGTAGGCCACTTCGTGGCCTTCGACTTCCCAAAACTTTATTCCCGGGCCACATTTTGGATGCCCGGAGCCAACTGTAG